ACCCTTATTAACCCTTTACTTATTACTATTAGCCTTTACTGTTATTATTAACCTTTAATTATTATCTTTATATATTATCTTAACCGCTACATATTATTAACCCTTACTTATCATTAACCCTTAACTTATTCCTTTCCCCAACAATAACCCTTATTAACCCCTTACTTATTAACCCCTACTTATTATCTTTCATTATTATTATTAATCTTTAATTATTGTCGTTAACCTTTACTTATTATTAACCCTTAACTTACTCCTTTCCCCATTATAAGCCTCATTAACCCTTTACCTATTATTATTAACCTTTACCTATTATTATTAACCTTTACCTATTATATTATTACATTATTATCAACTTCTACTTATTATTATATTACATTATTACAATACTATTAACCTTTACTAATTATTATTAACCCTTAACTTACTCCTTTCCCCACTATAACCCTCATTAACCCTTACAGAACTTACTCCTTTCCCTCATAAATCAATGGAAAAAGGTGGCATTAAGGCGAGAACAGCTGCTCTTGATAAAAAAACAAGAGGAAAAAGCCTCCTGGGCTCCCTCAAGAGCCTTTTTGGTGCTGTCAGGGAGCCGGCAGAACCTACCTGGCAGCGCCAGCTCTGCGGGCAGCTCTGGGCTTCTCCTCCTCCTCCTCCAGCTCCCCCAGGAGATTTTCGGAGGGCTCTGACATCTCTTTGCTCTCCTTTAGGCTCGCCGGGTGCTCTTCCTCCTCCTGCTTCAGCCCCTCACCAGTGCCAAATTCTCCCTCGGCCGAGCCTCGGCGGCAGCGCTTGAGCTTCATGAGAGCCACCGTGGCGTCTCCATCGCCTCCGTCATCTCCACGGGGCCTTTTCCTCCCAAAATCTCCCACTCCCAGTTCCCCACCGCCCTCTTCCCGCGTCCCTTGGCACCTCTGCAGCCAGGCGGGATCCAGCGAGCCCAGTCTCTGCGCCACCGTCCGCTTCAGCTGCTGGAATTTATTCGGCGGAGGCGGCGGGGGGGGCTTCAGCCCCGCGGTGAGGATGATGGGGGCCAGCCCCGACACCGAGGGAGGGAGGAGGAGATCTGGGTCCCCTTTAGCGGGCAGCGAAGCCTCCGCTGGCGCCGGGGACGTGGCTTTGTCACCGCTCTCTGAATTTGTCTGAAGCCTGGGGACAACCGGGGTCTCACTGGGAGTTGGGGTCCCCATGGAAGCTGGGGTCCTGCTGGGAGTTTGGGCTGCTTTGGGACTTGGGGTCCCCATGGAAGCTGGGGTCCTGCTGGGAGTTGGGGTCTCCCTGGGAGTCGGGGTCCCCCTGGGAGTTTGGGCCCCTATGGGACTTGGGGTCCCGCTGGGAGTTGGGGACCCCATGGAAGCTGGGGTCCTGCTGGAAGTTTGGGCTCCTTTGGGAGTCGGGGTCCCCCTGGGAGTTTGGGCCCCTATGGGACTTGGGGTCCCGCTGGGAGTTGGGGTCCCCATGGAAGCTGGGGTCCTGCTGGAAGTTTGGGCTCCTGTGGGAGGTGGGGTCTCCCTGGGAGTTTGGGCCCCTATGGGACTTGGGGTCCCACTGGGAGTTGGGGTCCTGCTGGGAGTTTGGGCCCCTATGGGACTTGGGGTCCCCATGGGAGTCGGGGTCCTCCTTGGGGTCAGGGTCCTCCTTGGGGTCAAGGGCGTCTCCTGTGGAGGAACGGGAAGGACAAACAGGGATCAGATCACCCTCCAAAACCCCCTTTCCAAATCAAACAGGGGCCTTCGCTGGCGTTTGGGGGTGCTCCCCACCCTCTGCTTATGCAGGGGGGGCTCTGCCACCATCAGAGAGGCCAGAGGAGGGGGAGAAAAACATCAGGAGCAGCTTCTCCTGAAGTCCTGACCTTCCCAGCAGCTCCCAGGTTGGATTTCAGCTTCATCCCGTAGTACTGCACCGAGGTTTTCGGCGCGGCGCGGCCGCAGGGGCTCAGTTTGGGCGATTTCGGCTGCCGGTTCAGGTGTGTGCCCCAAGAACCGGAGTCCGGTACCTGCAATGACACCACAAACCATGAAATCCAAACAAAACCACCCTGTTAAACCCAAAAACCCTGTTAAATTTCAACTTTTCTATCCAAAACCGGTGATTCCTACCATGGAGATGAGCCCAGATGCCCCCAAAAGGAGCTGGAGAACAAGCGAGCTATCGCAGCACGGCGTCTTCCAGCCCCTGGCGTGTTTTGGGGGTGAAGAAAGCAGCTCTGGGGCATTTAAAACCTCGGCAGAGCGGGGTTGGCTCATTAAGAGGTTGGTTAAAGCAAGCCTGAAAAATCCCAGGCGTGTGATTTCCCACCCCTGTGGTGTCCTTACAGGCTCTGCTCGGGGTGTTTTATTCATCCAGCAAGTCAAAACCAGGTATTATATGGTGCTAAAGAGACAGATTTCCCTGCCAAGGCCAACTAAACCCCTTTATAAACAGGTGGGGCAAACAGAAGCAAAAGGACAAAGCAGAAATACCTCAAAGCGCTCACGTTAGGGGCAAATCTCCGGGGTTTTAAGGCTCCCGGAGACAAAACCCAAGGGCAAAGAGGGGGTTTCTCTGGTACCTGCTCCACTGTTGGGGTCTCCGGGGCTGCTGCTTGGCAGGAGGAGCTGAGCTGGGAGGGATCCGACTCCTTTCTCTGCTGCTTGAGCATCTTGTACTCCTTGTAGAGCCCTGGGACAGAGCACCAAGGGGATTTTTTGGCACGTGTGGTGCTTACCAGAAAACCCCAGCGCTTCCCACATCAACACACGTCACCAAGAGCACCCCCTGATGTCAAAGGATGCCTGTGATGAGAGTGGTGGTGAGTGAACCAAACCCAGTG